ATACGCGCAGGATCGGCGTCAGCGTCATGGGTGGTCACCAACGCCCGGGAACTCGAGGAGACGAATCGTGCGTGGCAGAACGTTTTGTTGGCGATTGACGCGGGCGAGCGACCGGCACCCGCGGTCCGCACAGCAGAGGAGGCCGCCGCCGTGGCGCTCGACGAGAGATTCCGAAAGCTTGTCGAGGAGAGCATGTGGCCTGCGCTGGGCGGATGGCGCAACTATAGTTGGGAGAGCCCACAAGCCGACTTTGTCAACACACGGTCCGAATTTGGTGTGCTACCGACGGATCTGGATTCCGCACCTTGCGTAGCGACTGGCGATGACTCAAATCTGCTGGTTGAGGCTCAACGTGACCTCGTCTCCACTGAAAGCGTTGCGCCGGTTCTCACTGGCGCCGCGTAAGCTTAACGAATTATGAATAAATATCACAAGGAGAGTGAATTCCCAAATGTATTCCCAATAAAGTTGTGCCCATCGTGACAGGAAGTGAGCTGTCTTACAAATACAGCGCAGCACACGCTGAGCGCCCAATCCCCATACTCTAAAAGACTTTATAGACAAGCCCCAAACACCCAAATGTTCAGCACTCTCACCCCCATCGCGGATACATGCAAGCTTTGTAGCCCAACGCTGGCCCCTGTCTCCAAATGCTAGCTCAGTGTGTGATAGCTGGTGATCTCTCCACCATTGAGTATCCCAGTTTCTTTGACTCGCCCCCTTCGTCGTCGAGAGGTGCCGGTGTCTCCGGCGTGACCATAACCTCAGGCGTCGATATATCGCTGATGGGCGTGCTGGTGACGCTCGTCTCTCCGTGTTCTTCAGGCAGCTCGATTATCGTAGGTGGGGGTTTGAGCGTTGCCACGCTATCCTCGACCAGCTGTTGCTTCGTAAGACGGACATCCTCTACTTGTTCGGCTTCAGGGGCATCGTCATCGTCTCTCTTCTTCGTCGCTGAGCTGTTGTTCGTGTCCCCAGCTCGTGCCAAGCTTTCGCCATTCTCAATGTCGACGCCCACCATCTCTGCCAGGCTGCGGAAGTTGTACATGGGCTCTGTAGCGTCGCGGTCGGCTTCTTCGCCCCGCGCACCCGAGCTGGTCCCATTTCCTCGAGGGTTGTTACCATCGAGGTAGCCAGTGTTCGAGTAGCTCCCAGCCGCGCTGTCAGCGAGAGAGGAGGATATCGATGAGGCGTTGCTCATTTGTCTGAGGTGAGACGGGCCGCGGCTCGTCGTGGGGATCGGTAGCGAGGGTACTGTCGAGCTGCTCTGGGTAGCTGTGCTGTCGACGCCTTCCGATTCAGCCTGTCCACGATCGATGCCCTTGCCCTTGTCGCCGGCCTCCACAGGTGGTGTCGGGCTGGTGGGCGACCCGCTGGGCACTTCGTTGACCTTGGTCGAGCTGGTCTGCGCGTTCTGCGTTGCTTCCATGCGAAGGTTGCTGGTCGTGCTGTTGCCACGACGTCTACCAAATCCGAGAGACAAGCTGCTGGCGCTAGCAGAGCTACCTCCGTTGTAAAAATGGCCTTGCTTCTCGGCCTTCTTCGCTGCCTTTCGCTCCTCCTTCTCCCGCTTCTTGGCATCCTTGCGCTCGGCCTTTTCCTGTTTCCGCTTTCGGTCCTCTTCGGCAGCGAGAGAGAGTCGAACAGCCTCCATGAACATCATGTCCTCGAGCTCGTCCATGCGGCTTCGGCGACCGAGAATGCCACGACCAGAGGATCCACGAGGGCCCGGTTCCATGCCGTTCGGATCCTCGCCGTCATGTGCCAACGGGCTTTCGTCGCCAGGGTTGGCGGATGGGCTGCTCTGCCCGGTGTTGCGTCTACTGAAGCGTCCAGGCCGAGTAAAAGCAAAACCACGTTGTGGTTGGTTTTTCGCCGATGAGGAAAGCGGCCGTATGTAGCGCTGTGGCGGCAGCAGCGCGCCTGGCTTGGTGCGCCCGTTGTGCTGCGAGCTTACTAGACCAATCGGGCCGGACGCGGTCGGTAGCAATAACGTTTGGCGCATTGGCGGACAGGCTCTGCGTGCGCCTTCTGCCGGTGGGCGGAGATCCGGGCATGGTGAGCTGAGCGAACTCTGTGACGACATGG